TGTTCGTAACTAGAGGCACCACTGTAATTTTAAATTTTATTGTAATTGTTTTTGCTTATTTCCAATACAGTAAAACACTTTTAAGTTAAATTGTCAGGCTGCTTTATATATATTTAATTTATATATAAATTAAAATTTAGTTATTAAGAGTGAGTGGTATTTTTATTTCCCGTCCAACTCTAACTCTAATGAGATGCTTTATTCAAAAGGGGTTATTGCACACATTCTATTTATCATTTTACGGGCTCCCAGTACTGCAAAGTGTGAGGTTCTCTGTGGTATCAGCTTTATTGTACAGCCTGATTTTCTTGAAAGGATCTGTTTTGGTAACAAAGTGCACATCCAACACCCACCTTGCCTTGCTGTCTGGAGACAGAATAATGGGGAAGGGAATCAGAATACTGTATAGGCCGGTGCCCCTAAATTGAATAATACCTGGGCCCTTTGTTTTAATATTACAAGCGCTTTTCATTATTTTCTATAACTTCTTGAATTAGGTACAAGTCTTTGCCGATTCATATTATACCTTTCTTCCAGTGAGGCTCAGAGTAACTTATCCGGTTAGGATGTGATCCAAGTACTGTAAGGCTATCAAGATAGCAACTGCCAATACATAGAACTGAAAATTTGCATGAACTATTTGGGAAATAAAAGCAGTTTTGTAACTCAAATAAACCTCCATTAAGAACAGAGGCAGAAAAATCAGATGCCTGCTCAACTGCCAGAAAACCTGGAAGTAGCAGGGTCTGGAACCAGGCTACTCCTGTGTGCAAAGTATATTTTTTTGCACAGCTGAGCTACGGCAGCACAGTAACCCTGTAACCTTAGTGTAGTTGGTGGTTTACTCAGGGATACCAGAAGTGCCCTCTGTACATTCTCAGAGAAACTCGTTACTTCAGACCTATCCAGAATTGCAACACAGCAAACAAAGCGACGGCTTCAACCACAATTAAGGGAACTGCTTCCTTTTCAAGGCCCGAGGAGAGATCCACGGGTCAGAGCTGTCTTTGCTCCCGTGGGCATTCAAGTCAGGAGACTGGCCCTTTTGCTTCTGACAGCTCCCTTCGCTCTGCAGATAAGGCCGGGATGCTGTCGCCTCGGCGAGAGAGGGCAAAAATGCCACCTCCGCAGCTTGAAGAGAGGGGCAGCTCAAGCCGGTCCTCCGTTCCGGCGATGCCAGTCCGAGAAAAGCGACCGCCGGTGGAGCTCCGGGCCTCGTCGCCACACCGGAGTCACGGGGGAACCTCGGAGGCGGGTTGAAGGAGGCGCGGGAGGCGGGGGCAGAAAGAGGAGCCGCCGCGGATGGCTGCCGGGCTGAGCCGAGGAGGAGCGAGAAGAGGCGGAGGAAGATGGTGGAGCGGGAGGCCGGACTAGCGGTTGAAGGGAAAGCTGCTTCCCAGGTTTCCTGCCTGCCACTGCGTTGCTGCTGCTGCCGCCGCCGCCACCGCCGCCGCTCCCGCCATCCGCATCCGAGCCAGACCCGCTGCGGCTGCTGTGCGTCGCGACTGGCTTTGGCGCAAAGGCGCGGAAAGAAAGGTAAGGAAAAGGCGGTGGCTTCTCTCCGTGGGGGATGGGATGGGATGCCGAGGGCTCTCTGAAGCCGAGGAGGGTCGGAGGCGGCAGAAAAATAACCCTGCAAGGTTTGCTAAAGCCGGCGGCCGAGCGCGAAGGACGAAAGACTCGCCCAGATCCGCCACGACTTGTCGAGCGGGAGGGCCTGGGCTGTGTGGATGAGGTGCACGCGCGACACCGCGTGTCATCTAACCTGTGTGAACGGGGTAGAGCAGCTTTTCCCCGCCCCCCCCCCCTTCCTCTGTGGAGCCACAGGCTCGGTCTTCCCTTCCTTCCCAACTTGATGCGACATAGAAGGGGGGATACGGGCGGCCGCCACCAGACTCGACAGTCGGGCAGTCCCGGGCGGGCGCTTGGAACTTGTGAGGGAGGCAGCGGTGGGATTGAGGCGGGCAGTGGGGGGGGGGCTGGGAGCGGGGCGTTGTGAGGCATTGGGGTGAGGGAAGGAGCTGTGGAGAGACGTGCCTCGGATGGCGATGCGATGCTAGGCAAGGGGCGAATTCGCGCAAGGCTAGGCGCCTGCCTGTAGTCAGAAGACGAAGCGATGAATGATGCGTGTGTTTATTGGGAAAGGTTATCAAGACGAAGCCCGTTCGATAGGTGGAAGGTGCCTGGGATTGCTTGGATTTCTACGTGTAGGGAGAGACGTGGGGAGTGGCAAATCGCAACAGGGTACACATGGCAAATGGGGAGGAGGTCCTGAGGGGTATTTTTTTTCTGAAGGGGGCGCTCCTGGTTCTCCTTCTTGATCTCCTGTTTCCTGGAGGGCCCCCTTCCTCCTCTTCTTGCCGTCTGCTTGGGTTCTTGATAATATTTTATCACTATCGATATGCTGGCTTGGGGAGAGTGCCGCTGACATTTGCCACTTCCAGGGGACAGAAGTGCCTTGGCCTACCTGTATTTCTTAAAAACAGCATCTGACCACATCGTAGTGCAGTCCAGTACTGCTTTTTTAATTAAACGTTATGCTGTCACAGTTTGTTTTTTAACCTATTTCCCGTGGAGGTGGCTGTGACTGGGTATTTGACCATTTATTTTACTGCTGAGGTGATAAATTGAGTACCTGGGATATAACTAGAAGATTCATTTAGTGCCTTCCCATTTTTCTTGAAGGCTTATTGAGAAGATTAATTTATCTAGTGAAAGTTAAGATTTTTGAAGTGCCTGGAAGGTGTATGAGCTCCAACATAATGCGAAGAATTAACAAAAAGCTTGGCTTAACCCTTTGCTCTACTGATCTTGCAAATTAGGTATAAATAAATACAAAGGTGTTGAGTAGATCAAATAAGTGGCATAAACCTCTAACCTTGAGGGATGCTCCTTATTATTGAGATATGCTTCAAAGTATATGTGTGCTTGTCCATTAGTAAGCTTTTGGATATATCTTTGTTTATATATTTCATAAACTCCTTTAACATCAACTATATGTAGCCTTTTTCATGGTACTTTAATATTCTATTGCACTGCTGTCAAAATGGGAAACCTTTTTCAGTGTTTGCACCTTTTGCTGCTCACGTTGTAAAGGCATACTTTACATATATATATATATATATATATATATATATATATTTATATACACACACACACACACAC